TTAGACTAATATGTTATGGCTTTCAATGCTTGCCTTTCAAATATATGTACATGCTATAATAGTTTATAAAATATAAGTTAACTTAGTCCTAACGCTAGATTTCCTTTTGGTCAATGTGTGTCATTGAACTATAATTTTTAAAAAGTCATGACTCTCAAGTACATGTAAACTGAACACGTCACAGATTTTAACTCATTAATGAAGGAGCCAGCTGGCTCTTATTACTGGTTCAAATGATCTGAGAAGTTTGGATATTTAAAGATAATTTGCTGAGTTAGAGATAAAATTAATGTCTTAAGGCCCATCCAACCTTCAAGTTATATGTTCTGCTGGGCAGAAATTTTTATATCATTACCAGATAAAAATCTAGTTAACAAGTAACTAAGTCTGAGACCTTTAATCACAGTAACCCATGGGATAAATTAAGTTCAGTCCTCAAGACTAGGGACCAACAAACCTTTTTTTTTTTTTTTTTTTTTTGGTCTGAAGAAACAGTAAATGTTTCAGGCTTTGGGGCCATATTCCTATCTATCCAGTCTCCCCTGATTCTGCCCTTCACCTCAGACTTGGCCAGACTTGGCCAAGACTTGTGGGCCAGACTTGGCCTGTGGCTTGTTATAGGAGTTTGCCAGTCCCTACCCTTGACATTTCTTGGGTATCTCTTCCTGTGTTTCATGTGAAGTGGTATGCCGTATACCTTTTTTCTCTGCCAAGTTTCATATAATTTTTATGACAGTGCTTTCTCGAAGCACAGTATCAGAGTAAATTGCTATTTTGCTGGGTGGTGGTGGTGCTGATCGAATTTTGATGTTCAAAAGTCTTTATATTAGAAAGGTTGGGAACATTTCCTGAGTTCAAAAAAAGGACAAATTTTGTTGAAAGAGGAAGGTGGGAAGGAAGGATGCTAGTCCTGGCTCTTGAGAGGGACGCTATTCGCCAGATGTTAGACTCAGTGGTTCAGGAGGTTTTGTTTAGCTCTTCTGGGTACTTTGAAAGTTTTTCTGTTGAAAGTCAACATTTTTGAAATGATTTACTTTGCCTCAAACTGCTTTTTCTGTTACATAAAAAGGGGTTTCTACATTTTGGGAGTGTGTGTGAAGATGCTGTTTTGGAGAAGGGAACTCTGGTTACTTGGAGAAGAGTGAGAAGTAGTTTGTGTCTGGTTTATTCATCTGGTTATTCATCTTTGTTTCTCACTGGAAACAAATATAAATGGAGATTTCTTACCTGTTGAGTTTTTGCAAATGTTTTGAGAGATTCTCTTTTGCTGTTGGTTCCTAGCAGGAGGTTTTGAATAATGCATTGGTGGTAGTTTATATTGATAAACATGGTTAATTTTAATTATAGCATTAAGATTTATGCTAATTCTTTTTTCTTTAATTTATTTTTATGATTCTGATTATGCACGTGAGTTGTTTTTAACGAAAGGAAGGAAAAATGCCTTTAGGGGCTTAATGGCATGTTGGGCTGTCTTGGGTATATGGCTTTGTCCTTTTCTGTGTTATGTGTCTGTTCAGTCTAGTGTCTGCACTGGTGTTTCATGGGTATAAGCAGTGTTTCATGGGTATGACTCTGGCTTTTGATAGGAAGTGCTCATTTGAATACTCTGATCAATTAAGTCACAGTTTTCCGGGACCATTCCTTGCGGGGAGAAAAGGCTTTGGTTGGCTATACTATCCCCCTTTTCTTTATTTGATAAAAATTCCAGGAGGGATGCCACATTTTGAGAGATAAGCATTGAAGATTTGGAATTTGATAGAGAATTGTTCCCAAAAAAGTTTTAAAAACCACCGGGGTCAAGAAACGTGGAAAGGTCTGTGCCTTCACCCTCCCTTGTTTGCTGGGGTGAGAGGGGTTCTTAGTGTTGAGAAGCAAAGGACAAGTCAGACTGGGGTAGGGTCCTTGCGTCATTAAAGTAAGAGCCACACAAAATTATTGTCATTCACAACCGGCTGCCTAGTGTCTGGTTTTAAACCTGGGATTTTTTTTTTTTTTTTTTGATTGTCTGTGGATGGTAGTTAGTGGTAGGAAAGGCAATCTCTTCTGATTTATTTCTCTTTTAAATAATTATTTCACTAATTTATATTCCAGTTTGTACTATGGCAGATAAACTTATAAAAGGTATATGCAACATTAAAAGATATAAAAGTAAGTGAGGAAATGAAGTGAAAGGAGTTATTCCCTCATTCACTCATTTACTTATGCATTTAGCAAGTTAAGTGCCTGCTTCATCTAAGCCCTGTTCTCTGTGCTTGGAGTATTTCCGTGAAAAAACAGACACAACTTCTGGTTTTTATGGAGCTGTGCTCTAGCCTGGGGTAAAAGGAAATAGAGAATAAACACACACATGTGTGACAGCAGCTATACTTCGTGCTATTCCGGCAGCAGTAAACACAGGGACAGCGGTATGAGGAGCAATGGGAATGAGGATGGGGTTGGAAGGGAGGTTTGCTCTTTTATAAGGCAGCCCTGAAAGACCTTACCTATGAGGTAACTTTTGATCTCTGACCTCCATGAGATGATGGAAAGTCATGTGGCATCAGAAAGAAGAGTTCTGGCTAGAAGAGACAGTAGGTCTCGAGGCTTGCAGGCAGAGTATTCTGGGTGTGTTTGGGGAGCAGCTTGAAGGCGGGAGTAGTTGGCTGGAGTGGAGTATGTGGCTCCGGGTGGGAGTAGGGATGGGGGGAAATGGGGGACTCCATAGGTCATTGTAAGAGTGAATTTTACTTGGAGATTCAGGATGCCACGGGAGAATTTTGGGGCAGAGTCACAACCATGATTTAACTTACAGATTTAGGCCACTCTGCCACGCATACTGAGAATAGTTGTGGGCAAAGGAGGAAGCAGGGATCCCAGTTAGGAGGTTATTGTGATAATCCAGAAGAGAAGTGATGGTGACTTAGATCAAGGGTTACTATTGGAAGTGGTGAGAAATGGTTGCATTCTGGATCTATTTTGAAGGTAATGCTAATGAATTAGATGTGTGTGAAGAGTGAGAGAAGTCAAGATTTTGAGTTACTGGATAAGTGACATTGCTCATTGGTAAACTGAGGAGAGAATGGTCAACAAAGTAGGAACAAAAGGGAACTTTTGAACCTGATAAAGGGCATCCACAAAAATCGCCATAACTCACATCATACTTAATGGTAAAAGACTGAATGCCTTTCCCCTAAGGTCAGGAACAAGACAAGGATGTTTGCTCTTGCTACTTTAACATCGTACAGGTGTTTTCAGCCAAGGTAACTAGGCAAGAAAAAGAAATAAAAAGTATCCACATTAATAAGAAGAAATAAAACCAGTTTTATTTGCAGGTGACATGATCTTGTATGTCCTAAGGAATCCACTTAAACACTGATAAATGGGGACCTCCCTGGTGGTGCAAGGGCTTAAGACGTAACCTATGAAGCTACCTGCAGCCACTACAGCACCAGTTTGATCTCCTTGCCAGGGAGCTACCCACATGGCGCAGCAGACCTCTCCTGACTCGCCTGCTGCTCCCCTCAGCAGTGTATTTCAGTCAGTCTGCCTGTTCTGTTCCCCACTCTGTCTCTGGTGAATCCTTCCACTCTCCCCCCACCCACACCCCTCTGGCCTGTACCCCAGCTCTTGTATGCATAAATAAATAAATCTTAAAAAAAAGACTGATAAATGGGGTCAACAGTAGAGTGTGTGGGGGCGGGGGAGAGTGGAAGGGTTTGCAGGAAATAAGATCGACACACAAAATTTAATTATGTTTCTGTACATTAGCAACGAAGATTCCAGAAATGAAATAAGAACATAATTCCATTTAACGCTGTGAGACTGGCTGAGGGCACCCAGAGAGAGTTATGCTAGAGAAGAGAAAGATCTGAGGTTCCAGTTCCAAATCACTGAGATTTAAAGGTCAGGGAGATGAAAAGGAAGCAGTGAGGCTGGTGGACAAGTAAGAGGGTCTGGTCTCACTTGTCCAGGGGCAAATATTTGAAAAAGGAGGACGTTATCAGTGGTATGTAAGGTGCTGAAGGGCGAGTAAAGTGAGGACTGGGAATTTCAGATGAGAAAGTGGAAAAAGGAGGAGCAAGGAAAAAGTCTGTCCAGGATCCATACTTTTGTAAAATGCATTAAAAGTTGCATCCTAAAAAGTGAATATACAAGTCCATTTTTTCCTTTCTAGATTCAATTGACATGAGTACTTCTCTCAAATTATTATAAAATAATCAAAATCTGTACCTATCTCATTGTAGCCTATCAGTTTGCATAAAAGACTGGCACTTGTGTGTGTAACATACTTTGTGTTGTGTGGGTCTAGAGTTAAAATTCATTCAATGTGAATTTGGTACAGAATATTGTGCTGTGTGGCAGGAAATTCTTGTTAGAGGATAAACTCTGGTCTCACTCTTGAAGAAGCTGTATATCTCTTCCTTCAGAAATCAAAAACCCTGAATTTTGGTCCCATATAGTTTCCAGGCATGAAAGCATAGGAATCATATTCTGAAGCCTTATCCTTTTTGGTAAATGATGACAGCTATCTGCTGTCTTTCTCATAATCCTGACATTTGTATGGCATTTTAGTCTGACTTGCTCATTTACGCCTCATAGCACCTTGCGAAGTGGGTGGAATTTTCATCCCTGTGAAGAAACAAGCACAGAGAGATGGAATAGTTTCTCCACCCTTAAGTGGCTTGGAAGTGACAGAACCTGGTTTCCCTTTTAGACCCCTGAGCTTGCCACTAGACTGGGCTGTGGGGTTTTTATTCCCCTTCCTGATATGTAATGTCAGCTGTACTGACATAGTACAGCTATGTCTACATTTGTCTACATTTGCACATTGTGTTTGATGTCCCTTTGGGTTGGGATGTGAATATGTGTGTTTGTGTGTTCTCAGCATAGCAGGGGAACGAGACCTTGTCTTTCCATCTAGACAGTCACAGGATCACACTGTTGTTGGTGTTAAGCTCTGATCAACAGTGCTTTGGCTTTTAGAAATACTGCCTTATAACTGAGTTGTTTTCTTTTCATAGTGTATGAATTATTTGCATTCATCAGTCACATGGGAACATCCACAATGAGTGGCCATTACGTTTGTCACATCAAAAAGGAAGGAAGGTGAGTCCTTTTTGACAGGTTAATGGGATCTGTGTTTTGTCGAGTGCCTGCTATGTGCCAGGTACTCAACTGGGCATTTCAGACGTTCTCGCAACAGTGGTCCTGTAGGGATAGATTCTCATGTTTGTGTTTTGCACATCAAGAGGTTCAGGCGGTTGAGTAACCAGAACTTATTAGTATGTAGCTGTGTTAAGGCTGGTATTCAAAGCCATTTGTAACCATCATACCAAGGTGACTTCCCAAACGAAGGAAGCATCCTGTAGTACAATGTGTCACATTTGAAACCTCCATAGGATTGCCACATTTAGCCAGCAAAACAAAAACTTTAGGGTGCCCTATTAACTTTGAGTTTTTGATAAATTAATAAATAGGTTTTTAGTATAAAGGGATCTCAAATATTGCATGGGATGTACTTATACTGAAAAAAAGTATTTCTTGCTTACCCTATATCCAAAGTTGACTGGGTAGCCTAAGTTTTATCCGGCAACCCCAAACATCTAGTACTTTGCCTTAATGCAGTTTTGCAGTGGGTTTCTTGGCTGCTGCAGTGGAATTTGTAGGTATAATGAACTGGGAATGAGATAAACTTCTGCCAGGGCTGGATCCCCATGTGACTGCCTGGTTCCATTCTTTGAACTCCCTACTGTGCAGCCTGTGGGTGGGCACTCCTGCTTGAAACAGTGTGTAGGAACATGGATGCTAGAGAGATGTACCTTTACCCTCTCCTGGTAGGGTGATGACTTCTCAGCCCATGTCTCCCTCTGCAGGAATGACCAGTTCTCATCCAGAATACAGTTTTATTCCATTTTGAAGTCTTAATTTGTCTTCTTAACTTGATTAATAAAATAGTTGAGCACAAGGACTTGATTTATTGTGAATTATTTTGTTTTTTAATTTTTTAAAACTGTAATGCTGGTTACTATACCACACCTACCACCAAAACACCCAAGTTTCCCCACCATAGACCATTGGGCCTCATGTAGTGAATGCTTTTATTTTTATTACTCAGCATGATAGCTCTTTTGAAAATACTTTTCTTCAGAAAAAATAGCTGTTATAAGTAAAAAGCAAATAAAATTTATCATAAAGGATTTGTCAAATACCAAAACATAAAAAGAATACGTCTTCTGTCCAGTATTTGCCTTTCTCCTTCTGACTTATTTTGCTTAGTATAATCCACTCTAGTTCCATTCATGTTGTTGCTAGTGGCAGTAGTTTGGTTTTTAACAGCCAAGTTATATTCCATTGTAGATATATACCACATTTTCCTGATTCAGTCATCTGTTTTGGGGCAATTAGGGTGTTTCCATAGCTTGGTTATTATAAATAGTGCTGCAGTGAACCAGGCCATGCTTATTTCCCTTTGAATTAGTGTTTTTGTATTCTTTGTATAGATACCTAAGAGTATAGGTAAAAGATCAGACCAAACAAAAGGTTAGATAAAGGCAAGCTAGTAACAAACCCTAGAAATCTGACTCTAGAGCTGAGGCTGCTGAAGGGCAAGAGCAAAGTGGGGAGGGCGCCCAGTACACTAAGGGTGCTTGTGTGGTGGGTGTGGTATAGTAACAACACGTGATGAGGGGGATCCTATGCCTCTGACACATACAATGTTTGTCAACCTAAAAAAAAAAAAAAAAAAAAAAAAAGAAGACGAGATGATGTCATCTAGATGCCTAGGCGTAATCTACATATTTTGATATATTTCTTTGTGTTTTATGTTTTCATTGGGAACGGGTATGTATGTCTATCTACACACATACTACAGATGAATGTACCTGTGTATTTTCAACTTTTAAAAAAGCGTAATAGGTGCATAGCACATACAATTTTGTAACCTGTTTTTTCCCACTTCGTATTACAATGTGTTTATTTTCTCACTGTATCAAATATTCTTTGAAGATGTTTTAATAACTGTTCACTGTGTGGCAATTTATTTCTGATTTTTAGGTAGTATAATACCATACGCTGAAATAAACGTTGTTCACAATTCTTAGACTTTATTTCTGAGGCTATTTCTGAGTTCCTACAAATTTATGAAATCAAAGGGCTTAAAATGTTTGGAGGCTCCTTTAGTAATGACTTTTTGATCGAGCTGGAGGATTCAAAGAACAGTTGCTATTTCCCATGCTAGCGTTTTGTTCCTTTTTTTATACAACAAACTTGAGTTTATTTTAAAAATATCTTGCTTATTTTAAGTACTGTGCAGATATGGTACATTAACTTATTTCTGCAAAATTTTCTGGAACTGAATTGCATCCGTTACATGTTGCTTTTTTTTTTCCTCATTTTTTTCAGATGGGTGATCTACAATGACCACAAAGTTTGTGCCTCAGAAAGGCCCCCAAAAGACCTGGGCTACATGTACTTTTACCGCAGGATACCAAGCTAAACCTCAGACCCACAAATCGGCAAGAAGAAGCCATACGCCTTTTTAATTTGCCAAAAAAAAAAAAAAAAAAAAAAGTTGGGACAGCCAGACATGAAGGAATATGTGGGGTATTTATAGTTTATTTAAAGAACATCATTTGACGCCTTCTGAAATAGAACTGGGAAGAAATTTCTATTAGTGATGATACACTACTGTAGATAGTTTTTCTTTTTATAAATGTTCAAGGAAAGGGTGATTTAAAAAAGTATTCATATTGTTGGTGGGGGATGCCGCTGACACATCAAAAAATGAGGATGTGCCACTAGCCTCTGTTTTTCTTTGGGGTTCAGCAATTTTGGGCTCCAGAGAAACCAAGTAGTGGGCTCAGTGGCATAGCCTCACCCACAATAAAAGAAATGCCTATTTTTGTTTCATATCAAAAATCGAAGTATACTGGGCTGTATTTATGACATATTTTTTTCATTACACATAATAATTTCTGACCTATCTATGTATAGTAGATTAGGGTATACCTATAATGAAAGATTTTAATTTAATCACATAAATTCATAATACAATTGTGTGAATGTGTGTGAGAATGAGCGTGTGAAACCTTAATAGTTAACTGGAAAATCTGACAGGTTGGTTTTAAAAGGTTAACGCAGTTGGTTAAGCATAGCTGGAAAAAGCAAGTAAATGTTTTAAACCATAACTCAGGAATAGTTAAAAATTAGTTCCCCACTTAGATTTTCAGGCATAAAAGGACTGAGTTGTCCCTTTAAGTGTTGTTAAGAGTTGACTTGGGTTTGTCAAGTTTGGTGGTGTAATGAGAGATGCCCACAGCAGCACAATATTTACTTTGCCAAAGACAGATAAATTCTGTTTCTCAGCAGCCCTTCCTGTAAGGTTTAGTGTATATTTGTAGTTAAAATAGCTGATCTCTTACCATAACACACGGCAACTCTGTGGAATTCTGTTAAGTGCTCCAAATTTGTCTGCAATTTTCTCGTCTCTGAGCTCACTGCCTGCTTCCATTTATACATTTGCTGGGGCCAGAATCCCATCTTTGCCCTTTCTGGGATTATCACCTCCTGACTTCCCTTCACTGCTTATTGCTGTGACGAACAGCCTAATCTTGGGGGCGCTTGTAGGGTTTCAGATGCAAAGACCATTGTGATGAAAGACCATCATTTCCATTTTGGTGTTTTCATTATTTTCTTTGCAACCTGGGATTTAATCAGAGCTTCAAATGTGATGATGAGAAAGTGGAATGATAGTGCCCTATAATTTTCCTGCTGCTCTGTACAAATTCCTAGGTCTCTGGAGTTTCTATTTCAGATTATTCAGTCAAATGAAAAAGTCAGTTGTTATTATTGTCTGCTTAACATACATTTGATTGGTAGAAAGGATCTTTCTAGAAACTGTAGGAAAAGAAAATAGAACCAGTTGGGTGAACTACAGCACAGACGGTGTGTTCACAATTGTGAAGTAAAGATTTTAGCTGAAACTGGGCCTACCTCGCAGGAGACCACTTGCACCATGTGGCATGTGGTCTGGGAACTGTGGTCCAGAGACCTGCGTGCTGCCTGGAGTTGGCTGTGGGGCTTAGGCAAGTACCATGTCCTCCCTGTGCCTCATTTTCCTCATGCGCTATGGTGTGATAACCCCTGTCCACTGTACTTTGAAGATAGGGTAAGACTTGATATGGGGAACCTTTAGGAGTCATAGGTGTTATGTCTCAGGGGGTGCTAGCCACGTCTGCTCCCGTTCTTCCCACATGCTCTGTTCTTCAATTTGGGAGCAAATGAGATTGGAGAAGGAGGGAGTTCATGGAGCAGTAATTCTCAGCTACACTGTGCGTGCTGGTGTCCCCTTCTAACATTACCTTGGGTATCCCGGGGAATCCAAATCTGTGATTTGAGTCCTCGACAGGTAGAAGTCCCCATTCTAAGCAGCCTTACAGGATCCAATCTTCTTAGGGCTGAGTGAGTATCATAGAATAACAGCTCCAAATGTACAGTAAAAATGGCTTGTTTTCAGTGCTACCACAAAGCGAATCCTTTTTGGGGAATGAGGTGTGATTGGGAGTTTGGATTGAAATGTGGACAAAGATAGCATGTATTTTGAGCAAAATAATTTTATAATAAAACTTTGCAAAAGAAATGGTATAAAATCAGTATTTAAAATTATAGGCTATATATTATTTAATTTCATTCTGTAGAAAGAGAAATTCAGCCCTTTTGATGCTTAAGATAAAGTGTAAAAAAGCATAATATGTTTTTTTTTTTTCCTGCCTCCAAAACAAAGGGCTATTTCTACAGGCAAAGTTTTATATATGTACCATTCTTTTTTTCAGATTGAGTGCTGGGAAAAACTGAAGCAAATAATAGATTTCTTTCTTGCTTAAAAGTGTATTTACATGTATACCCTTGTAGACACAAGGCAGATTTCCCTGGAATATGTCTGGAATGTACTGCTTAATTTTACATGTCTGTAGACAAGATAATTTGTGTCTGATAACTGGGATAATGTGTGGAATTTGTCAATTGAATATCAGCCTGTTTGGACTCCCCTGTGTAAGGCGTGGCAGTATAATTGTGAAATTCTGTGTTTGGATGTATGTGTGAAAGAGAGCACTTTCTTCCTGTAAATACCTTTTGATATCCACTTGTGTAAAGTCCTAATGAATGGTTCTTTGGAAAGTACAATGTATCAAAGTTTTTATTTTGTCAGTTGATCTAAATGCCCATACAACTAATCAGAAATCCAGCTTGGATTTTTTGATCAAAGACAAAAAAAAAAAAAAATTGGGACTTTTTTTTAAGGGGAAGGGAAAGTATGCAGATTGGAAATCTCCTGTTTTAATACCATTTAAATGAATATTACTTCAGTATTTTGAAATTGACTCAGCTGTTTTCTCCTACCTACAAGAGAATGTGCCTGCCATTCCCGGTGCTCACTGTGGGCGGGAGGAAGTCTGGTGTGAGTGACCTGTCGCTCTGTGTCATTGATTCCCTTGACCTTAGCTGGACAGATGAGAGCCCTCCCGCCTCGAAGTGCAAAGGGGCTGGGTGACTTTACACTTTACCTCTGGGCCTTTTTCTTCAAGATGAGTGGGTTGGGCTGAATGAGCTCAGAAATCCCTTCCTGCCCTGACATTCAATTCTGTTTTTATTGTCCTATGGATGCTATGGGGGGTCAGACAGGTGAGGAGGAATCACATAGAGGTTAGATGTTATATTTTTGGTTTGTTAAAGCTTCTACACCCCTAATTTACTGCCTGCCTCATTTTTGGTGTGCCCACCCCAACTTCTATTCCTGTTACTCTTACCTTTAATTTCTTTGGTAATTATCCATACTCTTAGACCTCTCCACTTTCAATCCATGAGATATTTGTTACCATCTCCCTACAATGTGAAAAATGCATGTAAAACACCCTCCAAGCTCAAAGCCTCAGAATTACATAAATAGGTAACATTTAGTATTTTCTTATTCTAATTCAGTTATACTTATGGTCCCCCAAGTAAATGCTGAGAAAGCTATCCTTCACAGAATGGATGTCTCTTTTTGTCTTGTAAACATTATTTTTGCTAAGTTGCATCATCCGAATGGACCATCTATGGGAGGTGGCAGGTGACCGTTTCAGGGCTAGGGCATGGATTAGATAAAATGTGTTACTGTCATTTACCTTCAGTCAGTAATCCTAGTTTTTAGAACAAAGCTCTCTCCTCTTGGTGTATGATACTTCCACAGAGCTTCCCTACTCAGTAACTCATCTTGGAAGAGTTTAGATTCTTTAGACCTGTGCTACTCAGTGGGGTTGTCAGTAGCCACTTGTGATAATGATGCCTTGAAATTTGGCTTGTTCCAGCTTGTGCTGTACACAAAAGGCTTGGCATCCCCCCCAAAATGTAAAATATTTCATCAATATTTTCTATCAATTACATGGGGAAACAATATTTTAGATACATTGATTAGATAAAAGATATATTACTAAATTTTCACTTATTCCTTTTAGTATTTTTTTAAAATGTGGCTACCAAAAATTCAAAATAGGTATGTGATGCCCATTGTACTTCTCTTGGACAACGCTACTCCAGACTCTAGGTGGTGTGGGTAGGCAGTGAAATACCACAGATATGGAAGGTAACTCTATGAACCATCCAAATAGACAAAAGCAACACAAATATTGGTGTTGGAGTCAGGAGCACAGTGAGGCACAGATTGTCTTCTAGAAGATTTTTCTGTGTAAAAGATCTATGAATAAGATCTGTTAACAAACATGAGCAAATGTGCCCCACACCTAGTTCCTTCAATTTTGCCTAGAAGCTGCTAACTTACTTTTTGCGCATTTTCCAGGTGCCCAGGATGTTGCCACTTGAAGGTGATGGGCATATTTGGTTTATTTTAGGCAACATTCTCTTGTGGTTTCCTTACTCTCTTGTATTTGGTCTGTGCAGAGGTGGGTGCGTTGAAACAATGTGCAAATCTTGCCCATCGACTCCTCTTGGCCTTGGAAGAGGCTGAGCCTGCACCTGCGTCTGCCTGCCCTGCAGGTTTTGATGTTGGCTCCTGAAAGAGTTTGTTTGTTTTGTTTTGCACTAGTGACAATTGTTTAAATTATCTCAAATGTTTTGGGAGAGTATTTGCCTCTGATGGAGAGATGAATGATTAATTGCTTCAATTGTTTTAAAATTAAATGCTATTCTCACAATCTGAGGTCTCTCTCTCTCTCTCTTTCTCTGTTTTGTTTTCTGGTTTTGTAAAATGTCAAGTAAACTGAATATATTTCTCTTCCCAGATTTCTATCCACTAGTGAAACAGATAACTTGAGACAAAGACTAACTTTCTTTCTTTTTAGGATTTATTTTGTGGGGGTTGCCTGGTCCCCAGCAGTAGTAGAACATCAGCAATGACAAGATATGAACCTCTGTGAAGGGGGGAGGGGCCGAGGCATGGAGGTATCTCATGTCTTTTAGACTGTCCCTAGGATATTAAGTTTAGCCAAATGTTGGAGTCAGTTGAGGAATCCTTGGCTCATAGTTTGCTGGTGACTGTCTTTACATAGGTACAAGCAGATTTCACACTAGTTCCACAGGAGACGTCAGCATTTCTATGACACCATCGTTTTCAGGTGTATGAGCTTCTGATACTGAGGTAATAAATTACCACACACTTAGTTACTTAAAATGATACATTTACTAGGTTAGAATTCTGAAATGGGTTTTATGGGGCTAAAATCAAGGGGTCTTCTGGGAATCCATAGAAGAGAATCAATTCCTTGTCTTTTCCAGATTCTGGAAGCTGTTCCTGTTCCTTGGTTCATGGCCTTGGCCTTGCTCCATCATTAGCTTTTAATTTTATATCTCCTGATTTACTCTTCTGCCTCCTTCCTGTGCAGACCCATATGATTACACTGAGGCCCACCCTGTTAGTCCAGAATATTCTTCCCACTGAGGAAGGTAGTATTCACAGGTTTCAGAGATTAGCAGTTGCATATTTTGGATGAACATTATTTTGGCTGCCATGTAGGGATGCAAATTACAGCTTAAAATATGTCCATTCAGTGTTTAAAATTTTTATGAAAATGAACTTATATATTTTTTAAATATAGTAAATATATATCACAATAAAATGACTGACTTCAGTGCTATGCCATATATTTGGAAAGAGGGATAGAAAGAGAAGGAAGCAATTGTGATAATGAGGGATTGTTTGATTCAGAAAATTTGTGAAGTTATTGGGACAATGTTTGCAAGCCAGCTGCTGCTCATGTTCACTTGCTATATCCCATCCTACCCAGCAGGAGAGTTTACCAGTTTGTCTATGTGTTGTGTGAACTTAACATTCCTGCTTTTCAAAGGTATTGGGTGGTCGGAAAAGTCATGATATTTCTTTTCTATGTTTCTCAAGCAAAAATGCATCATAATGGTGCACGGGTGCATTGGTGAAGGAAATTCTATGGGGACTATACCTGAGGGGAGAGGGGAAGCAAACATTGTTTAAAAATGAACAATGATGTAAAAAAAAAATAAAAATGCATCATGACTTTTAAAAATTTGAACCACTATATTTATTTATTTATTGTTATTTATTTATTTATTTATTTATTAATTTTTTTATTTTTTACATCATCATTTTTTTTTAATAGAGGCATGTTTTATTTATTTATTTATTTGTTTGTTTGTTTGTTTTGTTTATACATGCACTGGGTACAGTCAGAAGCACGGGAGGGTGAGAGAATTCACCAGAGCCAGAGCGGGGAGCAGAGCAGGCAGAAGGACCGAAGTACACTGCTGAGGGGAGCAGCGGGTGGCAGGAGAGGTCTGCGCGCCTTGTGGGACCCTCCTCTGGTGGCCGGGGAGCAGCCGGGGATCGAACCGGTGCCGCAGAGGCTGCGGGCAGCTTCTCAACCCAGCGCTCAACCGATGCGCCACCGGGGAGGCCCATCATCATTCATTTTTAAACTATTTGCTTCCCCCTACCCCTCAGGTATAGTTCCCACAGAGTTTCCTTCCCCAATGCACCCGTGCACCATCACCTCAGTCCCCTGTGCTCCTCCCTCCCTCCTTCTGATCCCTCTCCCTCCTCATCCCCTGCAGGATGTCTCTGGTTTATAATTGTTTGTTTTTGCTTTGTTGTATTTTGTACTGTTATAATTTTTTCCACTGATCTTATTTTGTTCCCCTATATTCCTGCTATAAGTGAAACCATCCAGTATTTTTCTTTTTCTTTCTGGTTTATTTCACTGAGTATAATTCCTTCTAGCTCTATCCATGTTGCTGTGAATGGCATGAGTTTATCTTTCTTGATTTCTGTATATGCCACATCTTCTTGATCTAGTCATCTATTTTTGGGCATTTGGGTGGTTTCCAGGTTTTACCTATTGTAAATAGTGCTGCAATAATTATAGGGGTACAGGTGTTCTTTTGAATCAGTGTTTTTGTTCCCTTTGGGTAGATCCCTAGGAGTGGAATTGCCAGGTTGTTATGGTAGCTCCATTTTTAGTAGACTGAGGACTTTCTACATAGCTTTCCATAGTGGTTGGACCAGTTTGCACTCCCACCAGCCATGTAGGAGAGTTCATTTTTCACCACATCCTCGCCCCATTTGTTGTTGCTAATATTTTAGATATGTGCCATTCTTACTGGTATAAGGTGGTATCTCAGTGTGGTTTTAATTTGCATTTCCCTGATTATAAGGGATGTTGAGCATTTTTTCATATGCCCATTGGCCATTTGAAATGCGTCATGACTTTTACAACAACCCAATAGTCAGTGACAAACTTCAGTCATAATGGGGAAGGCATTTAACAGAAGAGTGGTGAGTTACTCTTATCCCTCATGCAACCAATTATTAAAAAATCTGGAGAAAGTCTTTCAGTGAGGTGGGCAGTCAGGTAGATAGAATGGCAAGAACAGAGGTATCAATTTGAGTTCAAATCTTATTCTCAACACAGATTAGCTACATGACTTCTGGTAAGTACTTATCCTGAAACTCAGTTTTTTTTTATCTGTGCAGTGGGTATAATACTACTTGAGATGAGTTATGAGTTATATAGAACATCTGACAGGCTAGTGGATGCAGTATATTCTTACTGTGCTATTTTCCATCACCATTTTAATCCATATAGTATTTTGATCCTCTGAGGCTTCAACTCTTTTAGTCTAAATTCATATGCTTATTGACATCAGAATTATACCAAAATTGATGATTTTTCTCAAAAGTATTTTTCTGGAGATAATTTCTGTAAATCAGCATTTTTTATCTATTTGGAATGATTCATCATTTAATAAATGTTAAATGTCTACTTGGCGTTGGACATTGTTTTCCTTGGAATGATTTCATAAACAAAATGGACACGCATCTCTGTCCTTGTTGAGTTTATTTTCTAGCAGGGAGTGACAGATATGTAAATTGTATAATAAGTAATTTGTATAATATAAAATATATTAAGTGCTATGGGGAAAAGAAAACAGAGCTTAGGGAATGCATCACTAGGACATGAGACTTGAAGGAGGTGAAGGAACCATCCAAGCAGGTGTTTGGGAAAATCTATGCTTGGCAGAGTGTGGCATCCCTGGCCCTCCTTGTTCTCAGGCTTATGGATGGGGTGGTACCCAGAGTTCTTGCTAGGCATACAGTGAGGTAGGAGGCCTCTAACCAAGGACAAAAGTCCTGGTATGAGGAACATGCTGGGAAACCAGTATATCCTGAAAACAGCCGGCAGATATTATAGCCAGAATAGTTATATCAGCTAAAATACCTAACTTCTAAGGATTAGCAGAGAGTTAGGTAGGGATAGAGAATAAAGATAACATGTTTTGACTAGCAGGAACAATGGAGTCCCCTCCCTCCCAAGCAATAGCCCCTGGTCACTCCACTCTAGTTTACATCCATAATAGCGCATCCTCCAGGCATGTACACTCCCTATGTACCAGCCCCAACTTTGTACTTGATTCTGATAGGAGACTGTCTTTGAATGGGGGTTGGGGTACATTACTGCCCAATGTAATGCCCCTCTAGTCTTCTCCTTGCTCCCACACACTTGGACTTTGAGTAATCATTCCTCGTCCCGTGCCCTCCCAATGCTGCTTCTATGCGAGGAGGTAGCAGAGGGGCTATTGGAGCAGGAGCTCCAGCATGAGAGCACATCTGATGTGTCAGGGAAACAGGAAGGGAACAGTGTGGCTCAAGGAAAGTGGTGAAGGGGAGGCTAATGGGAGAGGAGATCAGAGAGAGGCCATACCCCCTGAGCCAGAGGTCATTGGAAGGACTTGACTCTTGAGTGCAGTGGTAGCTGTTGCAGGGTCCTTAGAGGAGAAGGGACCTGATCTATCCAAAGTTTCAGGAAGATTGTTCTTGATTTAGGTTAGATAATAGGTGGACGAGGATAGAAGTAGGGGCAACTGTGGTAAGCAAGGTGAGTAGGATGGGGTGGCAGCAGTCGAGGCAGTAAGGATTGTTAGATTCTAGATACATTTGTAGGATTTCCTTCAAATGTATGGATAGGGTGTGGGTGTGAAGGAATGAAAGTAGCTAAGCTTGACCCCAAAACTTTGTTCTGAGCAACCAAAAAATGTAGTTGCAATCAACTAAGATAGAGAAGACTTGCTGGGGTTGGAGTTGATGGTAGGAAAAGATGATCAAGAGTCCATTTTGCGATGTGTTGAGTTTGAAATGCCTATTAGACTTCCATGGTTGATGGAGGGAAAGTGGATATGTAATCCTGGATTTTGAGATAGGTCTGAATTAGATATAAAATTGTGAGTTGTTGTTATCTGGATGGTACTGAAAGCAATGGATTGACTAGATATGATTAATCACCACTGGAGAGAGACTGGAAATAGAAGAGATCCAGGGATTGAGAAGTCAGGAAGAAGGTGAGTCAGCAAAGGGGCTGAGGAGAGAGTCCACCAGGGTGGACAAGAACCAAGAGAATGGTGTCTGAAGTGGTTGCCAAGTGCCAGGCGTGTTTGAGGAGATGAGTATGATCAACTGTCAAATAACTGACAGGTTAAATCAGATGAGTTGACCTTGAGATAGGTCAGCTTGGAGGTCATGGGTGATACCCATGGGGGCAGTCTGGGAGGAGAAGAACTGTAGAAGATGAATGCAGACAACCCTTTGAGGAGTTTTGCTACAAAGGTAAGCAAAGAGTTGGTGCTGGCTGACAGGACTAGGGATGGCATCAGCAGTTTTTGTTTTTAAATGGAAGAAGATCAAATAGAAAGTGCATTATGGAGGATGCAGGAAGAATTTCTGGCCCTTGAGCAGGCAAGAGGGAATAGGATCTTCAGCCAAAGTTAGAGCTGACTTTAGGCAGGGGCTGGAAGCCCACCTGTGGGGACAGGAGGGAAGCAGAGACAAGATGTAGTGGTCAGAAGATGACTGCTGGGAGTTCTCTCTTTCCTGCTTTGATTTTCTCAGGGATATAGGAAGCAACATTGTCAGCTGAGAGGGAACATGGGGGAGGTTGGGAATTTGAGGAGAGCGGACAGGGTGTGAAATAGTTATCTAGTTGAACTCTTTTCTAGATTTACATTTTCCTTTCTATTTTAATTAAATTCATTTTTACTGATATCAATTCTGTTAATTTTATGAGGACAAACTGAATCATCTGTTAGTTTTTAGTTCTCATCAAATTTTCCCTATTATAATTTTTGCTATTGCAAATTCCCTTTTACAACTATTATTTCAACAGGGCCCAGATTTACCAGGGAAATATTGTCAAGAAGATTTTGTTCTTTTGTAAATTAGTAATCAATAGTAGGTTTAACTATGAACAGTGTTAGCTGTCATCTTGGTTGTTTCTCTCAAGCCTACTTTTTCCTGGTTAGTTTTACAGTTTTTACTATTAGATGTGATCTTTTAGTCTTTTTAATTTATTTTTCTTAAAGATTTTTTTTATTTTTATACACGTACTGGGGTACAGGCCAGATGTGTGGGAGGGTGAGAGGATTCACCAGAGACAGAGTGGGGAGCAGAACAGGGGGACTGACTGAAATGCACTGCTCAGGGGAGCAGCAGGCGAGACAGGAGAGGTCTGCCACGCCTTGTGGGATTCTCGCCGGCCAGCTGGGATCGAACCTGCGCTGCAGAGGCTGTGGACAGCTTCACAGTACGGCGCTCAATCGCCTGCGCCACCAGAGAGGCCCTAGTCTTTTTAATTTACAATACCTTTTTTTTTTCCTTAGCAAAGTTTTTGCTATCATGTTTACTATTTGTGGAATATTAATTATAGACTGGGTACAATTAGTAGCAGGGCAAAGGCATGGGACATGGGTGTTCATGGGGGTTAAAATGGCAGCATAGAAACATCAGGCCTAGGAATATGGCACTTGTTAGGTATCAGAAGTGGTAAGCTTCCTTTCTGTTTCCCTTTTGAAGTTCAAAGAACTTGGGCTGGCAAGGCGGGGCCCCCTGGTTTCCACTGGTTTAAACTCAGATGAGCAAATCCTAGTAGGGAGCCCACTGCGAGTCGGTAGTTTAATTTCACAAGGCAAAGATATGAAAATTAACCATCACCCCTAAATTTCTGATTTATTAAGGTGAT